AATTACGAAAAATATTTTTAAATTTCAAATATTAGAAAATGGTTTGACATTGCTAATATTGTTGAAAAACATCGTAACTTAGCTTAACATTCGTCCAATGTCTCAAATATTCAGCGTTATTGCATTGCAATCCGTTAAATTATTTTTGTGCATTTTTGTGCATTTTGTGCACTTTTCCGGATTTTTGGTGGGTGTTATTAAACGCATAAAAACATTTTTATGCACTAATTTTGTGCAGGTGTTTTTAAACAGCAGAAACACTGCCACTTGGCCCTCATAATCCTCTCGGTCCACATCATCTTGGTGCCACTTCGCTGAGCCAATCTCTCGCACCAGCATCGAACTTTCCAATTTCAACATCTCGACCCCAAATCGAGGTTATTGCACATACTCTTGGTGCCACGTCACTTTGCCAATCTCTCCAACCAACCATCTACTTTCCAATTTCCACATCTCAGCCCCAAATCGAGGTTGTCGCTCCACGATATCACTTTGGGCCCAAGACGTTCACCCCAAAAAAAAAAAGAAACTTCTTCTCCTTCATCACCACCTTCCCTCTCTCTTCTGACCTCGATCCCAAATCTGGTTTCGTGTGATACTAATTACCTGCGGGCTATCCAACTATGCATACCGTCAACCCTCACTCAGCACCTATCCTTGCAAACCCCCTAACTGCGGCATCTATCCCAGCCACCTTTTTAATCTAATCTCGACTCTTGGCCTTCACTACCTTAAATTCTCAACCAACGCCAGCCCCCAACGTCTTCCACCAACCACCGCACTCCACCCATATCCACATCTCAGCCATCGAAAAGCGACGAAAACCTCGCAGCACCACGCTTCTGTAACCTTCCACCCCTCCGCTCTTCTTGGTACCACAACATCTTCTAACCCACCTCCCACTGTCCCAGCAGTGGTTGAGACCCAGCCCTAACCTTCCGCCCCTCAACCACCACCAATTTGCACTCTCATTATGGACTCACCCACCCCTTTTCATATGGAGCCAACTCTCAACGATATCACCATCTCTTCACCACGTTCACCCCCAACATATACTGATTCTCCTCTTTTCTCCCAACCGGTCAGTCCAAATATGGAGTGGGATTTTTCAACTTCCACCCCCGCAGCTCCACTCTCAGACACATATCATACACAGGATGGTGACCGCCGTAATTTTGGTGGAGGTGGGAGAGTCCACTATCGACGACGCTCCAAATCCAATTCTAACCGACCCCCTAATGTAACTCACTGCTTCTGTCCTCCACATAACGCCAACCCACGCCAATCTCTTTACAACCCACAACCTATACACACTAACTACAATCCAAATCGCTCCCACTCACATACCCCAAATACCTGGCGACCACATCAATCAACTCGACCAAATGCACCTCCTAACTGCTCTCGCCCACTTTCCCATTCTAATCCACAACCTCCTTCACCTAACACACGCCTCGTCCCCCAAGCCGTCAGTGGCAACACTCCTCTTCCTTCATGCCCCTTTTGCGTCGCTTCACGACAAAATTTATCTGTCACACATACTTTTAATCTAGGCAGAGTTTAACAAACCTCTGCTCCTCGGCAAAATTCTCATATAGATCACAATATTACCCTAGCTATCTTAATTATATACGTATCACGGCGACCCCAGGATGGTCCCCTTGACTATCCCCGTAATACAATAGTAATAAATAGTCATAGTTACCGGAAATCCACAGAGGCCATTCTCTCCTCTGTGCATTTCTTGCATATAGTATTATTAAGACCTACTAGCCATTGGCATACATCTACCTTCCAAGCCATACTCCTCCTCCTACCACATTAGTATTAACAGTCCTGATATTATGAACCCGGAAGACTCTCACACCGCATTATATCTATTATACAACCGGCGAGGTGATAATTGTAACTCCACAGGAGAGTTCCTTCTCCTGTGCATTTACCTTGGCTATAGGGTTAGGTTCGCATCCTACCTCACGAGTACACTCACTCCCCTACTTTAAGTTCACTGACTAGTTGAGCACCCCACGGCCGCCTTCGTATGCGCACTTTTTCCTTATTAGTAGGCCTCTTTAAATCTATCTTCCAACGAGCAGAGATTTTTTTGCTCCTCATCGCTACTACGAACCTCCTCGTCTCTTGGCGAACCACGTACGCGGCTCAGCCCTACATATGTCCCACTATCACTCCCCCCCGTGTCTCCTCGCCCCCAATGTTCTCCTAAATCCACATACCTTTTGGACACCGGGGACCACCACATTACTTCCCTCGCTTCAGGGCTCACCTCTTATGCTCTTCACAAAAAAAAAAAAAAAAAAAAAATTGGCCGTCCCACCCACAACGATTAGACCCCTCCGACCACTCTGCAGCCCCATCCTGCCTCCTCACCCCTCTTCACACAACCAACTCGACAACGTTCTAACACCCAGATTCTTATGCCTCCTATACCTCAACATGAATTGGATCATCCTCACCTCATTCACCGCCCTTGGGAAACTCCCGACGACTATCAACTGCGTAACTACGAACCAGCCTCTCCCCTATATCACTCTCCCTACCTCTCATCACCATCTCGGGCCCAAGCCGTTATTTCTTTAATGGACTCATCATCCGCCCAAAATACAGCATATCACCTAGTTCTCAGCTCCTCGCCACACGTCACACCACTCCACAACCTCTATCCACATCAAGGAACATCCTGACCCACTCTTTTGAAAATACGGCCCCCTTTTTTCACAAATACTTCCTGCATACACAACCTCCTTTTCAACTTTCATAAATCTGAAGGACCCATTCTACTCACCAAAAAAAAACAACCCGTACCGTCCCCGGAAACCCTCCAACCTAAAAACTCTACCCGTCAAATCCTCCCCCATACTTCCGTACCGTCCCTGGGGACCCTCCAACCCACAAATCTCTACCCGTCAAAATCTCCACCATACTTCCGTACCGTCCTAGTGACCCCCCAACCCAAAAATCTATCCCCCACAAACACATCCCCCACACTTCCCAACAGTCCCCGACGCCCATACCTATGCTCTTCCCGATCGCACCGGGGCCACCCTAAATCATCCGACACGTCCATAACAGCACCCAGATTACCCAAACCAATGACTTCTACATATCAGCTCCAAGTGCACAGAACTTTATCCAAAAGCTTTGCACCCTTACCGGACACACCCTCTCCTACTCTAACCAATGTTGCACCTCTTATCTCCTGACTCGCAATTTCCCCCGTCTCCGCTCCCAACATATGATATATATTGGGACACCCCCACTTCACCATGGTGACTAAAAAAAAACTCAACCCGACAACACATTTGGAGCCACGCCGAACGACCCCAAACTACCCTAACCGCACTTGGAACCACTCCGAATCACCCTGGTCACACCCGGAACCACCCCGACCACACCTTGCAGCACCCTAAATCAACTAACACGGCCTATAAAGCACCCCTCTCTACAACCACACCCAGGGACATCCACAATCCCCCCCCCCGACGGCCCCAGCGGAACCCTCCAGCGCTTTTACATACCCCGGACCCCACCTCTTATGTCTCCAACAGCTCCACAGTACACCGCCACCCCACTCGACACCTGACAACCGCTCAGCCGCATCCGGAACCTCTCCCTACGTATACCTCCGCCAATTTGCACATTTTGGGTAATCGACGCTGAGGTGGTGCCCACCTTAAAACGAATAAATCGAGTGAAAGCCGGATACGACCCAAAAAAATAAAAATAATAATAATAATAATAATAATAATAATAATAAATAAATAAATATTGGGCAACTTAACAAACAATGAGAACAAAAAAAAAATATAAATAAATAACGTATATTCCTATTCATTAAAAAAATAATTTTTTTAAAGAATTTTCTGGGTTTTGATAAGAATCAGCTTTGTCAAATATAAATTTTAAGAATTTTCTTACTGTATTAGAATTTATTAGTAACAATATTTTTAGAAACATATTACTTTATAATTTTCCGGACTTTGTTTAGCAAAAATTAATTTTGAGATTTTATTTCATATCTGTCAAGGATTAATTTCAAAACATGTTTACCAATTTTTCAGGAATTTAGTTTAGGATTTTAATTTAGGATTTCCCGAACTTTTTCAAATTAGAATACTAATCTTAAATTGACGAGGGCCTCGTCAACAATAGTTAAAGGTTGTAAAGAATTTGATTTGCAGATCTTCATCTTTTTGCATTACCTTGTATGTCCCATTATTAAGATGCACAAGTTGCATTCTCTTTTCCCTTATTGGGAGACAGTGATTGATGATCACGAAGTCGTGATCATCATACAAGAAGCAATCGTCCCTTCTCTCCAAGTTCTCCCAATCTCTTATTCTTTATTATATCCAATAACCGGTCAACATATAAGTGGAACAAGTAGGTACACATATCATATATAAGCGAAAGAGCTGATCGAGTCTACAAGAGAATCCACACAAGTCTTACCAAGTTGCATTTTGCCTCTCCCAACAACATTGGGAGAGGTTAGGCCGAGTCCTGTACCACAAAACCTGTATGTGAGTTGAAATAAAGAACACTTGTCCAACCAGCAAAGTCTCGTCTTGCCTCCGTGCATAAGTTTATTTTCCACCTCCCAACGACGACGACGACCATACACACCATCTCATCCTCCCTGCACAACCGAATAGCCGAGTGATGTGGGGTCATTGAGGAAGACCTCAGGAGAGGCCTTCACAGCACCCAACCACTTTGGCAAGATAGGTGTTGTTTGATAGGATTTTCGGATTAATAAAAACCACTAAATAACGCTTTAACTAAAAATATGCAAAATTTACGCAACTGTTGGAAAAATTTGGCACAAGGGTTGGCTGAACTTTAAAGCTTACTTGTGTCATTCTTTTCTACTCAACTTTAACGAAATTTTACTTCTTTTTATTATTTAGAAATTTAGAACAAAATTTAGAAGAAATTTAAAAATTTGATTTAGAAATTTACCAGAAATATTTACCTTCCAATCGATCGGATTAAAAGAACATGCTTCCACACATTGTGCCCCAGTGGCTGAAGCATTCACGAAATCCTTGACAGATCGCAAGCAGTGAGTGAAGTGGGATTGAAGTGGGATTAGCTGAAATCCAACCAGTTCGTTCACGTGCCATGGCAGAGTTTCGTTCTGGCAACATTGAGAAAGCTGCACAATGCTAAAAACGCCCGGAATACGGGGGCAGTTCTAGATTTTGAGGGACATAGAAATCTATTAATTTAAAATATGGCGCACTCATTACTTTAAAATTAAAACGTCCGCAAAAACACTGTATGTATGTATTTCGTGGGGTGATGATCCTGCCATTAATTGGACAGGACCAATCAGCTGCATAAGCACTTATAGCTTATTGCAGTCTCCCCAATTACACGGCACGTGCCTTAATGTGCTGAATCCCAAACCTCCCCTAAGACAAATAAATCCACCTGAGAGACCTACAAATCCTCCGGTCCTGACCATGAATTGGGTCAGGACCAGAAAGACACTTGGTGATTCTCCTCCGATACTGGTGGCATATTGCTACGCCCCCCAGATATGATGATGTTCCATCTTAGGTAGTGAATCCCCGCAAAAACACTACTAAGCTTTTCTAAGCTTTTTTGGTGATTTTCGTCAATTACCCAGAAAAACCCGAAAACCACAGCTCACAAGTACCCGGGTTACGGCAACCTGGTTATTCGTTCATACATACGCAGTGGTATGCCAAAAACTGTATCCCAATTAGATAAATTTTGGCATCAAGACTTTCCAAAGAAGCTTCTCCTTGCGGAAAAATCGCGCACAATTTGGCTACTCACCGACATTGGCAAACTTTTCTTCATCTCCCGCATCTGCTCGTTGTTCAGCTGTAAACCCTTTGGCGAGGCACATTTCTACAGAAAATGGAAACTTGTGGATATTCGTGCTTAATAAAATAAGATTTCTTATTCGTACATGTAAATGTACGCCTTGAACTTGAACTGGTACCTTTTCAATGTTTGAGTAGTAACAGTGGTCGAGCACTTTAAACTTTTCGTAAAATTCAGCCTCCTTTTTTGCCTCTAATTAAAATTATGAATATGCTATTAATATTTAGCTTTTACCAGCAGATTGCACAAGTTCTTGTATGCGGTGCATGCAAAAAAAACTGCAAAACGTACACGCCATCTAGCGAAGGAGTAGCTGCAATAACTGGGCACCTAGCATTTTTGGCAAATAACTGCAAGCAGGGTTTCCCCGGGTCTCTGGACAGCCTATGTTTCACAATACATGCTAAAGCCACTTTTGAAATTTGCCTGGTGGTGATTTTTTTCGCATAGAAAATCGAAAAATAAAACATTTTTGGTCTTTCATATTTTTCGCAAAAGTGACCGCGTGACCTGTTAAAAAACATTGAGATTTTGCTATTTTACATATACATGCATGTTAAATGGCAAAATTTCAGTGTTTTTTACCCGGGCACCCGGTCACTTTTTCGAAAAATTCGAAAGAACAAAAATGTCGTATTTTTCGATTTTCTATACGAAAAAATCACCACCAGGTTAATTTCAAAAGTGTCTTTAGCATATATTGTGACGAATAGGCTGTCCGGACACCCTGGCTGCAAGAAACCACTTTCTATGCAAGACACCACTTGCAGTTATTTCCTGCAGGAGGTTAACGCCGTGGGACTAATCCCCATTATCGTCAAAAGCAGCGAATTCTTCATTTCTCGCCTCCTGGAATTTGTTTTAAAATTATTCTCTTAAGACTTGTATAGCGAATTGTTGCCAAGTTTTTAAAAATATTCAATCCAAATTTCGGCAGTTTTTAAAGGAGGAGATTTTAAGTATAAGGAGCCTTCAGAAAAAGTGAAAATCATCGGAACTGGCTAGTGAAACCCGCCGCCATGCTATTATTCACAACAAATCTGAATACAAATTCGCAGAGGCGAGAAATACTTAAAAACGTGTTGATTTTGGCGATGAGACATCAAGTCCTATGTTAATACGAGAACCTGGACAAAGGGACGCATTTCTGTCGAGAATTGCTGCCCGAATGTTTTTATCCGTAGTGTAATTGACCGTCCGCTCCTTCCAAGTGACAAAATCGGCATAACTAATTTCTTTGGTCCCATTCTGCAATTAAATTAGTTTTATGTAAATGTGACCAAATTATATAAATGCGTATGTTTTATGATAGTTACGTTCTGCTTTTGGTACATGCAGGCAGCTACTTTCCACTGAAATTAAGAAATTCAGTTATGTATGACAATATTCTTTGGAAACATGTTGTGATCCGGAAACAATGTGTCAAGGGGTTATTTTCATAATTTTTTAAAATGTTGTGTAAATATTATCGATATGTGGGATGGTTGTTTTTGTTTGGTGAAAATTTCGTTCAATCAGGCTGGATTATCTGTGAAGTTAGATTTGATTGAAACCACTCTGGACATCAGAACACCCAAAGTTTTTGTTTTTGTTTAATTTAAGTACGCACCTAATTAGATCTAGTCAGTGTGATGCCGAAAAGTATCTTCGATCAGAACAGTTATTATATAAGCTGGAAATGTCTGTCGGCAACGGAAGTGAAAGTGGAGAAAGTGATTGGCATATCTACTCCCTTGAAAAGTCGATAAGTCACTTCAGACCTATCAATTCGAACTGATTTTCAACGATGAACACGAATTTGATACTCAATTTGACCTTCGACACCCCCATGACCGTCTGGGCGTGGCGGAAGGTCACGCGTGTCTAATACACGTCAGACCTATCAATTCTTACAGATTTTGAACGCTGAAAACGAATTTGACATTCAATTTGACCTACGACGCTCCGGTGACCATGTGGCGGAGGCTAAAGATCACACATGTCGAATACACGTTACACGTGTCAATCTTAACTGATTTTGAACACTGAGCACGAATTTGATGTTAATTTTGACCTTCGGAACCCCCGTGACCGTCAGATGGTTTCAACTTATAAAATCAAGTACCGCCCAGCGGGAGATGGGCTTATTCGCTAGATCTAGTCATTCTGATGCCGAAAAGTATCTTCGATCAGAACAGTTATTATAAGCTGGAAATGTTTGTCCACAACGGAAGTGAAAGTATTTTGTCCGTGACGGAAGCGAAAGTGGGAAAAGTGATTTGAGTATCAACTCCTCTGTAAAGTCGATAAGGCACTTCAGGCGTATCAATTCTGACTGATTTTGAATGCTGAGCACGAATTTGATATGCAAGTTGACCTTCGACACCTCTGTGGTGTGGGCGAGGCCAATGATGAAAAATGTCTTCAAAGTCCCACAGGATTAGTTTGTCATCATGTCTAGCTGTTCTTAAATTATTTTCCACTTTCACGTTCGTTACAAATTTCTTTGACTTACGTCTACAACAGAGAGTTTCAGCTAATGAGGCAATGAAATATTTAAATAAGTCCCGCCTGGCGGGAGACAGGCTTATACGCTAGTTCATATTAAGTTGATATTTTGGTCAGAATAGTTATTATATATTAAGTTAATATTTTTTGATAAATTCTGCTGATATGTTGCGTAAATGTAAATCTGGTTTTGATCTACCGCCCCGATAATGCGAAGATCAAATTCTGCAAAAGGGACAGCGGATAATTTAAAAGCGTACTCATATGCTACTAATAAATTAATAAATAAAACTCTGGAATCAACTCTAATATTTTTCAAGAAGTCTGACATTGTTTACAATACTGATTATTGATACTATACTAACTAGAATCAAAGATTAATATTTTTACCAGGTAGACTGAAATATTATCCGATGTAAGAGCAGACGACACTTCTCTCTGACACGTAAAGTAATAACCGTCGGAATAGTGGGAGGTTGAAAATTTGGCAGTGTGAGCTTCATCTATTTGAGGAATCTCAGTTTGACTTATTTGCGTCCCATTGCAGCAAAAGAGTGGGGGGAAGGAGCGCACGGGGTAACCCGGACTGTCCTTGTGGGTACATATATCTCCCTCCTCGTTATCACCCCATTCCGACGCTACGAAGGAGGCAAGAATCGAAATTAGAACTAGAACCGGTAAAAAACGTAATCTTGGATACATCCCGATAGTTTCCGTAGATTTGGAGTTTGATTTATTGCGAATTTTTGGAATGCTCGTCTCTGCTAGGATGTTTTAGAACTAGGACTCCACATTTTGTACCAGTTGCATGTCAACTAGCACCATCCGCCCATATTTGTCGAACAAAGGAGAGGATATGGAAATGCTGGTGAAGTGAATCAATAAACCGTGGTGACGTTAGACTATTCGCTTCAGCGTGTGTATTAATGATGGATGGGCGGACGAGATAAATTAAATGTTTTTATCTATTGCATCGAACAATACGATTACATAAATATTTATTCAGTGAAAGAATAAATGATTATTCCTGCCTTTGGTGAAGTAGTAAATTTAGTGAAAAGACCCTGTGGTTAGATATCGCGAGATATGGGTATTTGGAGATTTCTTTATTCTTCATCTGTTGAGTACAATACGTAGAACTAGATACATAAGGTAGTAGACATATGAATAATTTGAATGAAAATTGTGTCCATCACAGCTAAAAAAGTATCGTATAATAAATAAATGTCTATATACTCGCACTTAAATTTTGTGACTACGGAACTTGCCGAATTAAAACCTTTTGTTGCTTCGTCGTGCTAAATAAAGGCTAATTTTTTAGTTTGCCTTGGAAATCGTACAAGAACAATGAGGCCTCACAAAAACGAGCAAAAACAGCGTTATGATGATTGTGCTATGAAATTTGATTTCGAACTTATGCATGGTGTCCGATTAGGTTTGGCGAAACCACTTAAAAATTAAAAAAAAAAGTTTAAAAGATAACGAAAATTTTTTATTCAGGATATGCATGGATAATTTACGTAGGTTTATTTATAGTAAGGTTAGCATGACGACACTACTAAGGGACCTTCAGCCTTTCTACCTTCCATCTATCGATTGAGCAACAATAAATTACGACTCAATTTGTTCTTCTCATACAGCAAATTAAGCCACTCAAAGCATAACTCGCAAACCGCTAGCATTATTCCTACCCCAAATGTGAAAAATATCATAGAAACAACTCTCAGAGACAATGAACGGAAAGTCTTGTACGTTTTTCGTGCCACAGGACGTGCAAATTGGTCATGTAAATTTTCGGCAAGTTGAGTAACCCCATCACTTCCGCGGCGACCAAGTAGACAGGTCGTATACCCCCAAAATTCAGTCAGGTTACTGATGTCATTCAAATACACGTCGACTAAGCAGGATCCATAATGCATGTCTAACTTTAGCATAATCTCTTTCCCGTATTTTGTCCAAATTTGGTAAAGTCCCGACTGAATCAGGATAGATTGAACTCGGCTAAAAGGTTTTGCAAAAAAATTTACAGTCACCGCGAAGAGTTCCGTCGTTGAAAGAAAATAGTCAAATTCCTTGCTCATTATTAAGAAGTATTTGTCCCCCACGCTTTTCATTTGATTTTGGAAATTCTCGTGCCTTCGGTGGAGCTAACCATTGCAAAACTCTTGGCTAGAATAATAACAGGTTTATTGGTGCAGCACGAAGGGACTGGTAAACTATAATTGTGTAGCACGCGGAGCTTTGAATATGCAATTTTGTTGATGAAAACAAGTTTTTGCAAACCCTGGGCAAATGTAGCTTTACGCTGTGCTTCTCGTTTGCTGATTTTGCTCACCGTCTGATCCTGGACAATATGCTTGTCCTCGTTATCGTCTTCGTTTTCCTCTTCGTCTTCAGATGATGCCAGGTAACTGTCGAGAACATACTTTAAAATATTGATGGCAGGACCGCTTCCTTTTGATACTAAAAACGAGTCTGATCCCACCATTGCGTACTTGGATTCCATAAGTTCTTCAAGAGTTGATGGAACGTCTGTTGGTAGGACGGAGCTGGTTAGGAAACGGTAAAAAGCACTTCGGAAACCTCCAATAAGAACGATGCTCAGGATAAACCAGATGAGCAGTAGGTATTTGGAAATTTTGAAGCTGGATTGTGACTTTTTCCATAAGTGGACGGACAGGCTTTGTTCAGTAAGCGTACTTGATACGGTTAGCAGTGGGAGATCTTTGCAATTAAGTGTTGAAAATCCTGTTCCATTCTCAACCCAAATATAGCTACTAATCAGTACAATAGTTGCTAAAATAAGGACCCAGGTTAACACGTCAAAGGATAAAATCGGATTCGCAATTTCAAATTCAGTTTTATCAATAACTAGAATAAAACCGAAGGGAAGTACGTTATAAAAATGTGACTGGACTTGCAATCTATTGTTTGGATTGTTTAGAAAGCCAAGAAGAACTTGATGCCCGTCTTTCCTAACCGTCGCTATTGGTAGGGTATTGATGGGAACTTCAGCACGTTGAAAAACATCGTCATACGCGGTAAAATTAAGTATGGTGGAAATGATGTGTATTAGACAATAGAGGCCACTGGAAGAATATTTGTGTCCCAGATCGCAAACTACAGCTTTCCCATATATTATTCCAAAATATTCGTAAGAAGTACGAAGTTTAGGGACAGATACAAAGCTGCCTTTAAAATTAGTATGAAGTTGATTCCAGATTGGTATTATTGCACTAGTATCTTCAATGTGGAGTAGCGAAGACCCTTGAAGATCTAGAAGAAAAGTGCTAGTTGAATCGATCACAAGAAATTTTGAGGTGATTGTCACAGTCAATAAGGCTTTGAAGAAGGTTGGAAACTCTTTTGGAATTTTGTTCAAGGTAGTCTTAACATAAAACATGATTTAATCTGGGTTTTCTAATATTGATTGAGCGGTAGTCAAATGTTCGAAAGCTACTGTAAAGTCGTCCTTCCACAAGGAAGTAATTATATTGATCGGTAAAATGTTGACCCTACAGTTTAGTGTTCAGGTATGTACAAATGTTTTCCAATTCATGGAATTTTGATACGTGGAATTGCTGACAAGGTGTTGATTGTTGCTTGAAGAGAGGAATGTCCAATCACGTTTACGAAGTGGTAGAGAGAGTTGGTGATAAAATATGGGTTTGTTAAATTAGTCGACATGACGAAATGTTTGAGGAAAAGAAAGATGGCTAACCTAGTCCTCATTCTTGTATTCACTGAACGCCAATTCGGCTGTTCTCAGACGTCCCTGTAAAGTTCATCCAATACGTGACCAATCTAATTGGTTTTCATTGAATCGTACAATATGTATCTTAACGTATGGGAAGACATTTTTTGCAATGCGAACTCTACTTGTGTAATGATGTGGGAAACGTTTACAGTAAAGAATTTATAAAGAAAAACATAAGTTGACTTGTAAAATTCTAAAGGGGTTAAGTTAAGTATTTCAATGGAGCTTAAACTACGTTCTGCGACATACAGTATGTAACGAAATTAATCGTATGGTGCGGATGAGTCTTTCTCTGTCGGTAATGACTCATACTCGCTTTTAAATTTAAACATTATTTTTTCTACCATTTATTCATCATGTATCTGTCCGCATATCTGCAAAATTTCAGACAAATTGGACTAATTTTAAGAAGTGCAGGTAAAATTGAATTACAAAATGAAAATTTGACGCAACAAAATTAATTGTATGCCTTATTTTAATAATTTAATATTTTGCGTGGGCTGCTTTAATTGCCATTACGGTCTGGACTTATCTTGGCGATTTTTACGAAACCTGACCCCTTGTTTTATCTTCGCAAACTATTTTACTATACTAAGGATGGAGTAACAACATTCACATTTTTCTCCCCCAAATACAAAAAAGGAAAACTTCACGAGAAAAATACGAATTTTCGGCCACGTTTACCATCATAACTTTGTTAAAACTAAGCATTATGAAAAATCCCGAAACATGTGTTCAATTATTTACCTAAGGCTATATAATTATCGTGGTCGCGTCAAAATCTGAGCGAGACCGCTGGCGTTATTGCTTTGTTAGTATTCCCCTCAATTTCTCACCATTAGATAAGCATAACCTAAAAATTGAGTAAAATATCTTTCTTCATACATACTATTAGAACCAAATCTATATAATTACGAAACCCAAGGAATTATTCCCAGGGCGGTGATGTTAGGAATACGAATACTTTTTTTATAGTGGGGTCGGGGATTTATTTCCAAATTTTAATCGCACTTCTAGTCTCACCTAAGCAATCCTATTATTGAGTTAAATTTATATTTATAATTTGCACTCAGTAGGGAGCCTTTCTAGGTGATAGTCCTGTCCAGGGTATGCACTATGTTTTTTAGTATCTACGAGGACCCTAGATGAATGATCCAGTCTTATTTCCCTGAAAATCGCATATTTCGCGCCATGGCGTGGCGCCAAATTCGCCAAATTTGTATATTTGTATTTTTAAAACCGCCATAACTTTTGCAACCCTGGGCGGGTTTTCAAAAAAATCAAAAAATCATGAAAAAGAGTTCAACTTTCGTATGCCATGAAATTTTTCAAAATATTGACTATTTCAAATTTTTTTCAAAATTTTGCGATTTTCTTAGAGACTGGGATTTGTCGAAATTTGTTTAAAAATATCTCAAAAATAAAAATATTTCATTTTTTATTCATTTCTTAAAATTTTGATCTTTGTGATCATTTTAAGCCCAAAATTTTGAAAATCCCACGGAAATTGTAAAAGTTATAGAGGTTTTAAATTGATCGAAAACATAGATTTTTAAGTTTGGCGAAACGCCACGGCGCCAAATATGCGATCATCAGGGAAATAAGAACGGATCCTTCATCTAGGGTCCTCGTAGATTCTAAAAAACATAGTGCATACCCTGGACACGACTATCACCTCGAAGGTCTCCCTAGCCAGTGCATTTGCACACGGTGCGATGTTTACGGTACTCAAATGGAATCATGATCTGGCATCATCAATCTTGCACCTTATCATTTGGCACTTGCCTGGCACGTCGTGTCGGAATAATAAGTATGTATGTCAACACTTGGTTCACACTGCCCTGTTCCCGTGTGCAAATTTGATTATTCTTTATAAACTCAAGAATACTGCTAAATGACATTGTGGCACTTGAATTAATTGACGTCAGAATTAATCATTTGCGCACTGCATGTATGTGTGTTTGTGTTGTACATACATATTTATTTACATCAAATATTTGCGAGGTGAATCGCAATTTAATTCTTATCAAGTAATTAATTATCGGTTTAACGTTATGTATCATGCAGTGTTTCTTTCTGTACGCACGAAATTATCTGTATGCATGCACGGTGCATAAAATGCATAAAAATGCACGAAATGCATGAAATTCACTTCATGCAGAGAATTTCATATTTTCAAGTAATTTTATATTTTCCTCAGGAAAATTTCCTGACATGTCAAATGCGGGTAAGACTTGGTTATTTCAACCCTTACTGATTTACAACCTTATAACAACATTTTCTAAATATTAATTTTTTTAGACATTTTATAAAATGGGAAAATTTTTTGATACTAAAATATGAAGATGCTTGTGTAAATACCATTAAATAGCACAACGACTTGTTAATTAACCAATTATTTAGAAAAATTACAACATTACAATATTATTTCCCCTTAAATGATGTTTGTGCATTTTGTGCATTTTCATGCATTTTCATGCACTTTCCCAGATTTTTTAGTGGGTGTTATTAAACGTTTAACAACATTTTCGTACACTAATTTCGTGCAGGTGTTACTTAACAGCAGAAGCACTGGTATCATGTATATTTAAATTTGCTCGACCAACCAACTGCCAGTAATCTGTGGAGAAGTACACATAGGGATAAAATTGACATGATCACTCTTTCCAGCAGTGTAACTAGAGGTATAAAAGTACGGTGTTGAGTGTGTAGTACACCATTCGTTTGCAGAGGGTCCCCCAGCTTGCTTATTTAGACAAACTAAATTGGAAAATGTTTTCAGTAAACTTGGCAATTGTCCTGCTGGCCATGGTGGGATCTGCGTTGGGGGGAGTCGTGTCTTACGAGAGGTGCGGCGGCGTAGGAACCCTTACACAATTAAGGGTAGAAACATGCAATGGAACAAGTTGCCGTCTGGTAAGAGCTGAAGCGAAAGGGCTGTCCATTAATTATACAATTTTTTTTAACTTACAAGGGACACTTCCGAGGTGCCCCTCGACCCCAGGGTACCCAATATGTTTTTTTTAAAATCTACTAGAACCCTAGATGAAGGATCCACTCGTATTTCCGTGTGAAACCCATATTTGGCGCATGGCGTGGCGCCAAACTTAAAAATCTGCGTTTTCGACAAATTTCAAACCTCCATTACTTCTGCAATTTCCTTGAGATTTTCAAAATCTTGGGCTTAAAATAATCGCAAAGGTCAACATTTTAAGAAAAAAATCAAACATTAAAAATTTTGATTTTTCGAGATATTTAGACGATTTTGTCGACGAAATTTCATGCTCAAAATTTTCCAAAAAAATTAAATAATTAATTTTTTGAAAAATTTCATAGAATTCGAAAGTTCGACTCATTGTCATGATCTTGGCCAAAAATTTTGAAAATCCATCCAGGATTTCAAAATTTATGGCGGTTTTAAAATTTAAAATATTCAATCTTGGCGAATGTGGCGCCACGCCATGGCGCTCAACATAAGTTTTACACGGAAATACGAATGGATCCTTCATCTGGGGTCCTAGTAGATTATAAAAAACATAGTGGGTCCCCTAGGGTAGAGGGACACCTTGGAAATGTCCCTTGTTAATCAATCCAAAGTTTTTAAGTCACTTCATACCAAATAGAAAGTATGAAAATTTGTATTTGACCAATTCGTTAGAATCCGGGCAGCCCTTATTTAGCGGAAGGAGACCTGATTCCGAGCACCGCCTCAAGCCAACTGCACCTCAAAGTCACGACTACTTATTTCACTGGAGAACTAACTATTATCGATACTGACCTGGACAACTCATCCGTCCAGCCGTGACTAACTTACGTCATCAAATTCACGATTGTTCCAAATGATGTTTTGGCCGGAAGTACGCTTCCCATTAGGGCGGCGATTTCAGATGTATTAACTGGACGTGTCGAGATTTGTGCGCATTTTCAAGTCTTTATAAATTTTCTCGAATAAATACATACCTGTTTTCTACTACTGTTGGTTTTGAAGTTCTAAAATACCAAATGCCCAATTTTAATTAGTAATTAATTGAAAATTAATGCCTCTTATAAATAAATCTAAATTTATAACTATTACAATATTTCACAACAGAACTAGTTCTCAAATTGAAAAATGTCGCATCCGCATAACCTGCATGCAGATACAGCTTTTGTACTGCTAATTGTGTGATGGGTTTCAAACCAGTTTAAAGATATCAGTGTGCATGATGTACAAAGGATTACATTTCCGGTGTAAAGACATATGTCTTTACACATGTCGGCATGTGTTAAAATTTTTACACATTAATAAAGGCCGAAATAAAATGAAATGTTTGTGGATTTTGGCAAATCCATGTAACGAATAGTTAGCAGTCAAAATTATTACAGATAAAATCTTGGTTAATTTGTTCGCGTCTATCTACGTATGGACATCGTTAAAAGATTTCAAAGTGGTCGGTATTAGTGAGGACAGAACAGATCGTTCAAAAATGGAAGCATTAAATGCCGGTCCACTGTTTAACGTATTTCTCATGCGTTTCCTGGGGTCGGTTTTCCGACGGCCCTGGGTGGATTGGGTCACTTTCTCCGGGAGACAGCAACCACTTACCAGTAGGGCCTGCCGCCGCCCCCGCACAAATTTGCATAAGCAAACAAATTCAAGTTGTGAATGGCAAAGTTGGCAAAGTTATGAACTCTGAAAATAAACTGTTAACTTATAGAGCTTTCCGCATATTTGACAGAAAATCGGAATTGGGTCTGTTGAAATATGTAATTATTTCAGACCTCCTGTCGAAGTCTAGGAACGATTCAAAGTTTAATAACTTTCTATCAAATTTTCGGAGAAATTTGTATTTGAGTATGTCTAGGTGGAAAATAGAAGTTTTAGGATAATAATTCTATACAATCGGATAAAATGGTCGTAGTCCTGGATGATTTAAAGGTATTGTCGTCTTTTTTAGAAATAGCCAAAGTTGGTGGAAAACGATACTTTTCTAAAATCCAGGGAGACATGCCATTTACCAATTTAGTGGTAACGGTTTGGAAACGCAACTTTTTTTTTGAAGAATATTTATTCTTTATTCAATCGAGTATAGAATTGTATTCGCACAGAATTGAGGTGGAAATATGTGATACCCAGAATCATACACTTTTAAGAAAATCAGTGAAACGCGGTATCGATATGTGACTTTACCGCCACGGTAATGATTTGGTAATAAGTTTAAAAAATTAATGCCATATGGTACAAAATTTAATACTACCTAGTAATAAAATGATTACCACATGGTATTATTTCGTTACCGAATCTATACCGGGGTTGTAATACCAAAGCGGTAGAGTCACATATCAATAACGCTCATTTTTTTAATAGCCAGTCTCTAAGAGTGTAGTACAAAAATTAATTTGGAAAAAGGCTAAACGACCAGCGCTGTCTGTAAATATCCCTATCAGATTTTTTCAAAACTGTTACCACTTTCATCGTCCTAAAGGTAAAATATCTCTTCCGGCTTGAAGAAATCCTAAAATTGAAGCAACGTTATCACGCTGTACGGCGATGCTCATCTTTTGAATGAGAAATGGCGTCTTGGAAGGTTGTTAAATAACTGACTCAACCCTTTCTTTCGTGTGCATTATTATGACCTTGTTTTAAATACTGATCTCTTAACAAATCGAACTCCCAGATTTAATGAATGTCAATTTAATTACTCATCTTACTGTAATTTTTGTGACTCATTCAATGACTTTGTAAAGTTTGCTCCTTTATGGGCCCGAATAGGCCGTAAAAAGGAATAAATCATACCAATACCAATACCAAAAAATGGCGTCTTGAAGAATTGTATCTACACGAGTAGTTTAGCTTCCAGTTGCGAACCCCTTTTATAAGCCCGTTGGCCAGTCTCAACCTTGCGGAGAGAAAATCTCGTTCATAAAAGCACGTAGGGATCAAGTAGCTAGACTCTTACAAAAAATCAATACCAGATCAGTGTCAGGATCTACCGTCGCGGTAAAATTCAATACCAAGCGGTATTCTTCTGCATTGATACCGTTTGTTTCGGTATCGATTTTATACTGGTTCAGTAATATTTTCTTTATACCAGATAGTATTAATCTTTGCCCGCCCGGTATTCAATATCGCGGGAATCCATTCATGTAGCCGGATGGTATTATATATTTAAAAACTAGTAAACCCAGATATTGATTTCAAAATTATTTATTTAACCTTTTAGACGAAACGCGTTAGAATAAATTCATCCCAAAGTACATAGTGCAATAATTCGTCGTTTTCGAATATATTTGTATCCATGTAAAACATCAAAAAAACATGATAGGATAAAATATGATATGATAAAACAAGATACCGATTATAGATATTCCTATGGATATTCCGTCCTACTTGGATAAGCCCCGAACGATAAGCCCAGACCCATTCCAATACCGGGGTTAAATCCATAATTCCGAATAAATTAGTTAATATTATTGTTGATAGTGGACTTCGTTTTATACGATTTTATTTCAAGAAAAACAGAATTAACAATACCCCAAAATTAGATATGAATGACTTAAAACTTTTAAGTTAAAACTCAGAAGCTTAAGCATCCCGGCGGCTTGCGTGGAGGGCCATTGTACCCAATAATGGCAAAGTCACATACTCAAGGCGGAATTTCTCACCCCAGACGTTCTCCAAAACTACTTCAGGATAGTGATGCACCGATTAAGTAGGCGTCCTTTAGACGGCACAGTACTCTCGTCCCGCAAAACATGCTTCCAGCAATCAAATGTACAATTTTTTAGTAATTCGTCTGTAACTGCTCCTAAACCTAACCAACCAACCGGTCCTAAAGCAATCCCCGTGGTCAATGCAGCAGCTCCCGCACTTGACGATGAAGCCGCAGCTGCCGCAGTGGCGCCCACAGCAGCTCCGGTGGCACTTGCCGCAATGGTTCCACCAGCTGTGGCGCCAGCGACGGCCCCTGTGACCATTCCCGCTCCCGCTGATCCAGCTACCGTTGCAGCGGTAGCGGCTGTGGATGCGGCAGCGGTCGTTACCACCCCGCTAGCGGCTGGGACCGCCGCACCGGCGGTGATAACACATGCAACTACTCCCGCTGTAAGGACGACCATTGTCCGATTCTATATGTCATAAATTTAGGATAATAATTCAGACTTATTAATATTTGAAAGATGTGTTGGAAAATGCTATTTAAATCGTTGGAATCTTTATTACCAAATTGTTTAGGGGCTTGAAACCGTCGTGAAGAAATCTTGGGTATTCTAAAAAAACAGGTATGTATTGTTTAGTGCTGACTGTTTAGTTGCTATGCGTTGAATGAACAAAATTGTGTCGAATCTTTATATTTCGTCGCCTTCCAAAAAGGTTGGTATGCAATTCGCGAAATAAAATGTAAATCTAATACATAATATGATCATCCAAATTCACTATTGTATAAGTTCAATGGTTTCGTATATTTAAATACAACACATCTGTTATTTAGTTTTTATTTTCCGATTACAAAACAAACTTATTTATTCAAAGTTAAGAAAATACTTAACGAGATGTATATTGTAATATACATTTCTGTGTACACAGAAATGTATATTACAATAGTATTTATAGTATAGTATTAATATTATAGTACAGATGTATTTATAGTAATTTAATATAAATCTATTAAATTCCTCTCAAACAATTAAAAGTATAAAATTTATGTTATACTAATAATTAATATAATAATAATATTTTACATAATAATATTTTATATAAGTATTTTATACATTTATAAATATATAAAATACTTAATACTAAATACTTAAATGTTACATAACATTTAAGTATTTATTGTAGTCAAATTATTAGCTTTACAACCTTCGTTTTTAACCTTCCCCATTCCATATTCTCCAAAAAAGTTCACCGAACTCAACCTTTAACAAATTGGTCCAAATTCATGACAAATTTCAAATTTGGAAACGTGGCCACAATCCGATCCACAAATGTGGTCTCCCTCAACCTGGATTTGTCCCTGGGCGGGTGCGGGACATATAATTCCCTTAGTGTTTCACAAACGGAAATATTTTCTGGAAGGAAACTCTCATACAAAAATTTTACCGTGGATTCAAACTCATTCCCACTTTCCCCCACATTATTCACCGAAAGTACTTGCAAGGCGGGGAACTGCCTCTTGTAATCGATCTTACCCAAGGGACTTGCAGTTTCGAATTTCAGGCCCTCGTTCAAGTTTGTGTCATAAATTGATGTGATTCTACTGATAGCAAAAAACTTGAGTTTCGGCATGATCGGAATGACGAGTTCTTTAACATCCCCCCACCTCATCTCGAACCTTCTTTCATCCAACCCAGTGATTCTCAAGTGTTCCAAAACGGGGGAAAAAGTTTGGAGTAAAACAGGCCATGGACTGATTTGGCGGGTCACGTTAAATTCAAAACGGGTTATATTGCTGGTGAACCGGGCCGGTGAGACGGGTAGACCATTGTAATGCCCGTGCGACATAGATTCGCGGAGGCATAACGAGACTAGGTTACGGACTGGGGAGGGTTTCGTGAAAAAGAGGAATTTTAAGGCGTCCCCGCCACCGCAATGGTATCCGAGTGTGGATACGTTAGGGAATAAGGCCGCAAGTTTGGCAAGGATTAGAGGAAATGCGTCACATCCGGTGACCTGGTGTAGGTTTAGGCCGAGTTTAGTGATGGAAGGGAAGACCAGGTTTTGTCCGGGGTGGAAGTCCGTTAGGAAGGAGGACATGCTCTTCCGTTTCCGGGAACTCTGTAAGGGGGCAGGTAAAAATAATGAATTAGGTGGGAGAGTAAGATTGCAAGAAGGGTTTCCGAGGGTCTGTGGACAGCCTATGCTTTACAATAGATGTTAAAGCCATTTCAGAAATTAACTAGTTAGTGATTAAATTAGTTGTTTTTATTCTTAAAGAAAATCGAAAACTAAGACGTTTTTGTTCTTTCATATTATTCAAAAAATTTACCGTCTGACCTGTTAAAAAACATTGAAATGTTGCTATTTTACGTATACATACATGTGAAATAGCTAAATATCAATGCTTCTTAACCGGTCAGAAGGTGACTTTTTCGACAAATTTGAAAGAGCAAAAATGTCTGATTTTTAGATTTTCTACACGAGAAAAATCACCACGAGGCTAATTGCAAAAGTGGCTTTAGAACGTATTGTAAAGCATAGGCTGTGCAGAGACGCGCGAAAACCCTTCAAACCAGTACATGATGATAAATTATGTAACCATTGAAATTATAATGCAAGCAGTATTTATTTCTCACGTACCCCTCCTTTGTTATGACCCGCACAGAATAGTTTTAGATTTAGAGATGTCACTTGCGTCCCTAGAGTTTTGATAATCTGGAAAAATTCCTCCGAGTATGGCCCCCCGCCCAGGAAGAATTCAGTACTCACGTGTCTCAATTTACCCCTGCTCTGCTCAGCAAAATGTTTAAATCGTGGAAGAAATTGGACAAATTTTTCCTCACGTTTCCAACTTAATTCGATCCGCTGGTGGTAATTTGCTCGGACCGCCATCACATTTAAATAACTTTTGCGACATTCAGCCGACAAGTCGATCAGGATACGGGCGCGGAGGTGATTTCTGGCTGCGACTTCCCATCCCGCGTTAACTTGGGTGCACATGAGAAGGTCGGTCGTTGGCAAAAAGGAGGTCACATTTTCTAAAATCTATGATAAAAATTTATAAGGTGGCCAGCGTACGCCACCCAGGGATTTTGTGGGTTGGGGTTTGTGAGGTTTTTGTGGGTTTTTGGGGTATCAAAACCCGGGAAAACCCCAATGCTTATCGGGGTTTTTGTGGGTTTTTGCCGGGTTTTTGTGGGGTTTTTTGTAAAATTTGTGGGCGGATTGAAACAAACATACCTATTCAAAATACATACCTATTAAACTAACACTAATTGAATATTCGGATTCAGCATGCAATTTTAAGAATTTTCATGTGCGACTTGAACTTCCAAGTATTATTAACAAATAAATCATAGTTTTCTATTTGGTTTACATGATAAAGATAAATTTTTGACTTGAAAGGTCAAGTCACATATGAAAATCCATAAATTGGCATGCTGAATGCGAATATTGAATTAGTTTTAGTCTTTAGTTTTAGTATTTTGAAGAAGTTTGTTTCAATCCGCCCCAAAATCTTGTAAAAACCCCTGGGTCTGGGTTTTCCGAACCCTGGCTATGGTTGTCAACCATTGTTCCTCCTCAGTAACCTCGTTCGGCTTCAGGCGATCTTGAAATAGCGATCAATTCCACATCTTATAGGCCAGCCTCAATTAATCGTGAATCTTAGGTCACACCATCGCCCTCCGACGTCACTGAGGGGAATGACGGTTGACAAGTTTTCAAAAATTAGTTTCTTGTTTTAAAAAGTCAACCACAACACGGGTTCGCGACTCAAAACCATTAACCCACTTTTTGATAGTGTAATACGATAAATATTTATATTGACTTTCATTGAACATTAGAAAAGTTGGCAATTATTGGGCATCAAGTTCAATTTCATTACCTGAGAGAGAGAGAGAGAGACATTGAATCTTTATAGTGGTGAATTTGGATCTCGTGAACAATAATAATTACCGCTGTGTTGATGCCAGTACTAATCAGACTATACTAGGTTACGATTATAACCCAAAATAAACGTATCTGACTCTACCGCCGTGGGCACAAGTAAATTTGTCGCCGACTGGGTATACATTTTTACCAGTGAGTGGTGATAAACTTATAACCACGGAGGTAGAGTAATATAAATACGTTTACTTTCTGGATTATCATTGTAGTTCGATTTTCTAGAATGTACAGGCAATCTCGTGGAATTGAGGCAAAATAAATACTTGTCAATCAATTTAATTAGATTTTACAAACCTCAGGTATGCGTGCGACCATGTGGCTGGTTGTAACAGGCTGAATATCCATAAATGTTTGGCTATACGATTCATGAAAAAAGAAGAAAAAAATTATGCATGTAAATATGTCACTAAAATGTCACTTACTTTAATAAACTCTAACTTTAACTTTTGCCGCACTTTATTTACTACATATGTATGGGAAATCTCACGGGATAATTGTGCCCACGAGTGTGTTTATTAGTTAATTCCATACCTTTTATATTTACGGGAATCTGAAAATCCACCCGACCAGATCAACGATTGGACTAAAGTAAACGTGTTTTTTAACGGACCGAATTTAGTTGCTGGCTCAATAAGTGACGTATGGCTACTAGCCAACAAATGTTTAGTTTCTACATATATTTTATTTGTTGGTTTTTGTGAATTCTGATTTCTGGAAGGGTAAGGCAAAGTCTAGTTTTAAAATAAAGCATCTATTTTTAGAAAGGGTGGCTTCGTATTGAATGGCATGGTTTAATCGGCCGTGGACAAAGTTTGTCAACGATTTTCACGGTTTTCTATCCCCTGATTTGAATTTTCTATCATTTTGGAGCTTTCTCCAATGCCATCCAAGTGTTAAAATTGAACATTTTCCCACCGAGAAATGGGATATTTCCCTATATAACGCAATGTTAAATTTTGGATTTCTCAGTTTTTCTGAGTCTTATCAAAACTGCTGCTAGAACAGGCTTATAATGTCCCCGAATTAATGGAATTTCTTGTAGTTAATCATACTCCTTAAAGCGTTAATACGGGCCAGCCTACGTATTGGGTTAAGCCGAAGGCATGAAAGGAAACCCACCCCGTCAGAAATAAGCCTAAAGTCAGACACCTCTTTCATACCCAGCTTATTTTTTAGCCTTTCTGGACCTCTCTTCTCTTTTTGTTTGACATGCCGCTAAAATTCGTGATTGGTCTGTTCTCATTGTCTCGTCATATATACCAAACAGGTCTCTGACCATGAAAGTGTCATATTTATAAATGTCTCACTCGGCCAGTAAATATTTCGTAAAGGTCGGATGACTTTGTGCCAAGCTAAAAATACAAGGGTCCCTACCTTAACCTCTTTCGTTCTAATGATTTTTTAAAGAAAACTTCCCTTCGGCACGATTTTGATTTCATAATTACATCTGGCTGCAACCAATTAAAGCGAATATTTATTTCATCCAGTCTCGAATTCTTGAGTTTTTTGTCAAAAAAACATTCAATATTTTAAGACTCGACGGTCTCAGGAAAATTCCAAAATTTGTGAAGAGAAATATCAAAAACTTTTTACAATCAAGCTTTTCAGAAAATACAAAGGAAATGCTCATATTTTGGTATCATAGGTTCTTTGATAGTCAAAGGAAGTGCGTTCTCTCCACATACGTGTGTAGTTTGGTAGCCAAGAGGTTAAGGACCATTCCATAGAAAGCTCCTTTCCTTATATACGTATGTATGTAATGGTATAAAACACACCCTTCCACGGTTTGCCACACTCTGCTTAGTCACTCTTTAGCCCTTCTCGCTGTCGTAAAAAATTGGGGGAATGGGCGACACCGAGGCGGCGATTTCTTTTTGAAGCTTGGATTATACGTGGTCTGAATAAGTTGGCGAGTACGAGAAACACTAAATGACGATCCCCTTTGTGCACTCAAATGCAAAATAATGTTACCTTTACGAAAAGCAAGTTCACCCTGGATTGTGCAAGGCATGCTTAATCCAGGGTAATATTGATCTATAAAACCGCCTAAAAAACCGTAATTAGTTTAGTAAACATTTGATCTACAAATTTATAAATTTTCTAATCCCCTTGTTTCAGTCCAATCTGCTCAAGCTGGGATCAGAAAAGTTGCCACTGCCGTTCGAACACCCCCACTTTCAGCGAGCTCCAGGCCGGTCTCCCTAACAGAGTTGAGACCTTAACCGAAACCCGAAAGAAAAAAACATGGCAAATTATCTCACAGCTTCAAAACTGCGTTAAATTCGTTACCGAATTGACCCAGGAACTACAACAAATCGAGAGAACACCACTCGCCTCGAGATTCGCAACATTGAGCAAGAATTTTCCTCCAAGGTGACTCAAAGCCTTCGCGTAATGGAACAAGTTGTCCATGATTTTGGAGAATGTGTCGCAGTCGTTTTGTCGTGTCCCGACAAAAGTCAACAGGCACTCGTCAGGATGGACAAAGTTAACGAAAACATTGTCTTCTCAAAGGCGAACTTTCCGAGAAATGGTCGACCGTAGATCATGCCGGCATTAGAGTAAGAGACCAGATCTTCAAAAATTTATTCGACTCATACAAGAAGGAAACCTATACGGAAAATACCACCATCCACTTTGGCCTTAAACCTGCCGATCTGATATTTGTAACGGACAAATTAGAATTATATTATTTTGGTTAAATAATAAGTCTCATTAGCATATAAAACTTTGTCAAACCAAACAGTTCCAATTTACTTTTTACAACTACGTACAATATTTACACTAAACATTGATATTATTGCCAATTACAATCAACTTGCAGGACATAGAAAAAAATGTGGTGGATTCCCGAGTCTGGTTGCAAATCGTTAGTGAAAATTTATAATTTATTTTTTACCGCATGAGGCAGTAAGTCGATAAAGAGGACTTTATTTTAGTCCTGAGTAGATTTATTTGGAACGAAACCGAATTTCCCATTTCGGTTTTGCGCGTTCCAGAAGAAAAAATGTGGCGACCAGACATTTTTCTTTAGACAAATTTTACTACTACCCCCTTTAATACCTTTGATATAGGCGAACAATTATGGAAAATATCATTTGAATTGTTAAATTGGTTATGGAGTAGTGTATGCTCAAACTTGCCTTACAGCATTGGGAACCCACCTTATGACGAACAGGTCTGCAGTATGAGATTCGGTAGCGGGACGGTCGGCGGTCTGGAACTCTGGAAAGAGGGCAATGTAAGACGTCGACGTAATAAATTGCATAGTTAAGATTAGCCACAATTCAGACCATTAATTTCAGACACAATTGACTCGGATGAATAGGGGGGGAACTGCCTTCAAGCATTGAAGTCAGCATTCAATAATGTCAGATAATCTGACACTAAATCTGACTCTGGATTTAGTGTCATCTGCTTATTTCGTTCATCAATTTGTAGTCAAAGTCATGACGCCAGATCCATAGAGTCACTAAGGCTCGATTGATCTGGCCACAACCATTATATGAAATTTGTGTTCAAAATCGAAAGCCCAATAATCTGTCGTTTTACAGTACCTATTTGTACCCGCATCCTCTCTATGAACAAAATTTAAATGCATGTAAATATACAATATATAATATATAAAGTTTAAAAAATTTAACCTTTTGTTAGCTAAATATATATATAATTGCGTAACCATTATTTAAGTCCGCTGGCTGATTTGAATATTGACGTATGTGATTCAAGTCTGTATGTATAAGTTTTGTGCAAGTTACGTTGTATCAGTTTTTAGCGAACTTGATTTCCTTGTTTCAAAAGGAGTAGAAAAGGTGATACCAGTGTTTCTTTTTGTGCGCATAATATTATTTTTGTGCATGCATAGTGCATAATATGCACAAAAATGCACAAAAATGCATAATATGCACAAAAATGCACAAAAATGCATAAAAATGCAAACAAAGGCAGAGTGCCGGGAAATTATCTTTCATATCCACTCAACTCAGTAGAATTTTCCAGGATTAAAAACTGTAAAAGCTATTGTAAAAAGTTATATAAGGCGCGTTTTCCTCGAGGACAATGGCACAATCTTATCGATTGGTTTCAATGGATTCTCAAGAGATTAGGGACATGTTGGACAATTCAGGTAAATAAAAAAAATATTAATTATTTTACGAAATTCGATATTCATGGGCAACTCAACGTGTGTTTATTTATATTATTTTTTAATAAATTGCAGAAAACGAAACTGATTCGAAATTAACTTACATGGAAAGTATTGGTAAGCATATTGTCATTATCGTACTACTAATAATTCGAATAATAGTTCGAATTACTTTTAGACGATTATAAATATATAGATTATTATCAATTTTAGATCTATTCCGACCCAGTGAACACGAGAACGAACAGATGGTTCCAGACGAAGACGAAGACGGTATGAATGAATTTGAAATTTCATTAAATCACAACCCATAAAATCCAATATATCTCTATCTTTAGAGTCATCTTCATTAAGCCAGGATCCTAATTACCAGCCTGGATCAGATTCTGAAGTCGAAGCTAGCCTGTCAGAGAATCGGAATCAAGACAATGTTGAAATTGTCACAAATACTCCCAAATCTGGAACCGGAAGAAAACGGTCAAGAGGTCGACCTCAAAATCAGGTGTGGCTGGAATTCATCACCGTAACAAGAGGAAAGAATTTTATTTCAAATAAATGCAAACACTGTAAGGAACAAGTAAGCGCTCAATCAAGTCGAATGGAAAATCACTTGAAAAAGTGCAGGAAGTTTAATAAAACTCCAGTCTCCCAAGGACTCCCTACCCCAATCAGTCCGCCTGTTGGAAAAGAATCAGCTGCAACCACAAAGATCACCAATTTTATGTACAAAATGCTTCCCAGAACAAAAGACAAATTGAACGAATCCCTTGGAAAATTTATCTACTCGGCAAATTTACCATTCAATGTTGTAGAAAACGAGTATTTTTGCAAATTTGTTGGACTCCTTAATCCAAGCTATGTATTGCCCAAACATGAAACCGTCGGTGGTTTTCTACTTGATAATGAATTTAAGCGAACAGAATTGGAATTAACAAAGCAATTGGAAAATCAGAAAGTGGTCCTCGCTCAGGATGGGTGGAGCACTACCCAGCAAGAACCGGTGATTGCGCATAGCGCAATTTGTAATGGACAATCCTTTTTCTTGGGTGCAGAGGCGACAGGTGGTTCTCCGAAGACTGCTGAATTTTGTTACTCATTATTCGAAAAACAATTGAAGCAGCTTGAAACGATTAATTGCGAGGTTGTAGGACTGGTGACTGATAATTGTAATACAATGCTAGCGCTGCAGAACCTGGTCAAGAAAAATAACCCCAATGTAATTGTTTACGGATGCTCGCCCCATTTGCTAAATCTAGTTGGCCAGCACTATACCAACAAAGAGTTGATGGACAAAGTTATACAAGTTCAGAAATATTTTCGGAATCATTACTACGCCAGAGCCGATTTGAAATCTTCAAAGGGGAAACGTCCAGTTCTACCTATGCCCGTACGTTGGAACTCTCAAACCGACTGTTGTTTGTCTTATTTAGAAAATAACGGCAAATACCTAGAGATCATCCGTGCTCGACGGAACACGTCAGAAAGAACG